GAATCAAATCAGGAAAACTTGCCTCGACCTGAAACGTGATGTCATTTTAAGTTGGCCCTGGTTTGTGTTTGTGTCGCATGTACAGTAGGCAGCCGCCCTGCTCAAGGATGCATGGTAGAGAGCCAGGGAAGAGGATCTGTCAGCATTATCTTAACCTAGTTGTCAAGCAGTGACAGCAAGGCTGGGCTAGAATGAGATTAGAAGACTTGGCCTTTTATTGTCTGGGCCTCTTTCACTCATTAATACCGAACGGCAGGCAGACTGCTCTGCCAGCAGCCTGCTGCTCAGGCCTACCTGAACCTTTACTTCAGGATTACTTTTCTCTATAGACCAACTATACCGCAAGTTGGGGCTGATTAGGGCTGGAGCAGGAGAGGTGAAAAAGTGGCCACTGAAGTAATTCAGTTATCAAGATAACAGACGGATGAGATTATCTACTTTATTTTTCTGCTTTAGTCTTTAAAAAGGACCTGTGTTGAACTCCTGAACCCACAATGAAAACCACTACTCTACAGCTTTACTCTGAGGAGACAGCTGAACATGCCTTGGCTCGACAGTTCCCTGCCATGGCGGGTTTGAGTGCGTGTATCTCAGATGTATTATCGGTTTGGTAATGGTTTACTCAAAGCAAAAAGAGTCCCATTCAGAAGGGCCTTAAGAACCATACTCTGTTAGATGATTGTTATATCAAGAAACTTGTTTGAAACACACATTTGATCACATCACTGCTAAAAATATACTGCACAAGCCATGGAGTTCAGACTCAGACGTGTAGAGCTCCCGCTGGAGTAACGCCACGAGGTCTCCTGCTGCGTCCAGCGTTTGAAATGAGACTGATTATTGATATTAGATACGTCATCAAAAGAGTCCATCCAAGATCATCTCTATTTGCATTCTCACCGTGATGTAAAACAATGACTCAATAATCCCACTCACATTTATTATATACTAATTTTAAAATAGCTTTCTGTTTCGCCTACAAATGCGATGAATGTGAATGAATCCAGAAAACATTTACGGCCTTCCAGAGAAACTGGAGTCTTTTAGTTTAATTACATCCACCACTAAAGACTAAAAACAAGACGAGTCAACAGAAAGTCTGGTCCAACAGCTCTGTAAGGCTGTAATTAGACACAGTGGTGCTTTGAGCTAAATGGTAACGTCAGCTCACAATGACAATGTGAACGTGCTGATCTTTAGCAGGTATAACGTTTACTGTTCTCACCATCTTAGTTCAGCATGTTTGCATGATAACATTTGTGAATTAGCACTGAAGTACAACTGAGGCTGCTTGGAACGTCATTAGTTTTGCAGGTTTTTAAGTCATAAACCAAAATTAAATTTAGACCAGATAAAAAGTTAAGGGATCACCAAAGTTATAACAGTTTATCTTGATGAGGGGGGTGTTAACGTCCGTACCATATTTCATTGCAATCGTTTCAAAAGTTGTCAAGTCCTTTCATACAAAACTTAACGGTGCTGCTTGTAAACTCAAGGGATCCCTTCAGTCATTAGGCTACATCCTCTGGGGTCGTGAATGTAAATATTTCATGGCAATCCATCAGATAGTTGTTTTGGTCTGGAGATGTTTGATGTTGGTTAGGCAGTAAATTGGATAGGAATCCTTATACAAGTTCAAATGACACCCTGAACCCAGTTTCTAACAGCTGTCTATGCATAATAACTATAGTTTAGTTTCTGGGTTGTAATGTGCTACATTATAAATGGAAACAAAACAGTGCTGATGGATTTAAATAGAAATATTCTCACATTGGAGCTACATGATAGTATCAAAGAAACAGAATTTCAAAGGAGTTTTACTTCTGTATTGACAAAATCAGGGCATTGGGAGTGGGACAACACAACACAGGGACAGACTATTTCTAAGTATAACTACTTCACAGTGAATTAACTGTGATGTTTTAGAAAAAGGAAACAGGCCTTTTTGAGACAAGTGTCAGAAATGATTCATGTAAAAGCATGTTAATTTGGAAATTTGTAGGATGCTCACGCAGCTTGCCCGTTGTTTTTCATGGGTCCTTGTTTCTCCCGAATCTCTACAACTGAGGTGAAGAATGCAAAGCCGGAACAACCCACAGAGCCACAATAGCCTCACTTTTATTAAATCAGGTTAAAATAAACTGGAATTATCCTTAAAGGCTGTGAAGCTGCAGCAGCAGGAGAATGGTCTATGTATCTTCTGCTTTAGCTCAAAGTGGAATAATATTCATTATTTCCTGACACCTTAAGTAGCTTCTGAGAGCAGAAGTGACACATCCCCGCACTGAAATTGTCAGTCTCCAGGCCCTCACTCCAACGTGCTGATGGATAAGGACCTACAGAGGAAATTACATCGTTATCTAATCTGACAAAGCTAGCCACACCGCACGACCTGCAACTGGTTTTATGCCCGGTGGAAAAAAATCCAGCAGCTACTTTGAAAAACCGGAAGACTGCGCCATGTGGATTTTATGAATAGGACAAAGGAATATTTCGGCCTTGGTGAGCTGGTCCGTCTAGCTGCTACTTTTGGTCAAGATAATCAAAGCTTTATCCTCTGTGTGACATGAGGACAGGATAGCTCCTCATCCACCTCAGCCGAGGGGCTGAAACCTGGCAGCATGATGGCATGCTGAGCAGGACATGTTGAAGATGAATACTGATGAGCTGGCGTTAAGAGCTGAAGTTTGCTACTCTCACGGGAATCATGGATGTTTAATTTGTTTTTGTTTTTTACATGGTTTACTTGGAGATTTAAGTTGTGCGTTTGTGTCTCAAAGTTCTGCTAATTTCTCAGTGTGCTGTACATGAGTATCATATCAGGCATGCTGAGATTCTCTGGTTTCTAGATTTGATAGATACCTGTTCATGACCAGAGACACAGAAAGAGCTATTAGATCATCCTTTGGAGAAATGCTCCGACATCTCAGACTTGGCAATACATCCTCAATCTCACATTTAAATAAACAAACTAAACCCATATCAGTCCCTACGTCAAATGAGCAATAAAACACACAGCCACGGTCTGGCTCCCACAGCGAGCATAAACAGAACGGGTTAAACCAACAATTCATTTAACTACAGTCAAACACGGAGCGCCTCAAAGCCACTAACGCCACACAGGAGGAAGGCACACAGACTATAATGGACACTAATACCAAGCAGTGAGGCATTAATGGTTACAAGCTTGTTTACCAAACCCCTTGACAACAAGACGACAGCAGCTCAGCGTACATAATCACACGCAGGACGTGGATTAGGATAAATGAACAAACATTCAATTATGCTTTCAGATCTTCAATTAATAAGAGAGAAAACCACCAGAATGAAGAGGAGGCAGAGAGGGCTGCAACCTCAGAGGCAGAACCAAGTACCTATGAGATTACCAACACCTCTGGACTTGGCTATATGTTGAAGAACTCACATATGTAGGAAAAAATAAAATCAAAAAGCTAAGGGAACTAATCCTGCTTAGTCCACATCATAAGCGTTTGAATTTGAATCCTTACACACTCTCATAAAAAGGCTTATTTTCCTAAATAGAAGAAATATTTGCCACAATGAGGTTTAATATTGGATTTGTACAGAAAACAGTGTAAGTTGCTCTTTGATTTGCGAGTGAGGAGAGCTACAGGCAGACTGTGGTAACCCAATTTTGGTTAACCCGCTCACACACAATTGTCTTGCACTTTTACTTTCTTTAGCATGAGCATTTGCACACTGAATGGCTAATTAGTTCAACTTCTAACTAATGCTGATACTTGCGTTTGGTATGTACAGTAACTTAAGCCTCAGTTTTTAATCAAACAATATACTAATGTTACTTAACTTTAGTCAAAGTTGGGTATTTTCAGCAAATGCTACTTAAAAACATACTTTAATTTATACTTTACTATACTATCAGATTCGTTGGGATAAAGATGAAGTTTCTGCGCCGTGTAAATCAGGTAGCCTATGTAACCATGTTGCTCAAAACACTAGTTTTCTAAATAGTTCACAGTTAAACACAGTTTTTATTTAATTAACCCTGAAAAATTTGAAAAGGTTCAAATCAGGAGCATTTGTTTCATATATCAACTCTGCACTCTCTCAATCAAACTCAGAAATACCTTTAAAAAATCTCTACAAGAACCTCTGAGGGAAGCACAGATGTAAAACAATGCCTTCAGTAGGATCTTGAATGAAGGCTGATTCAATGGATGTACAGTGAAAAGGAGGAAACAGATGTGGAAGCTGAAGATTAGATTCCTGCCGGGCCTGTTCTCGTGTCGCGGCTCTGCTCTCAGCCTGGTGATAAGCTGCCTCCAAAATGCCACCAGTGACTACCCTCTCTCATAATTCACCTTCACACAGAAGAAACTGCTGAACACAGATCTTCTCCAGATGATCAATTGATAGTTTCCACACATCCATCCATATGTACTCTAAAGTATGGACTATTAGGCTTAGCAACAAATGATAATGGTCAGCTTGGCTTATTTATTTGGCATATGGTCAAGCGCAGTGATGAAGCCATTCTAAGGAATGAAAGCTTCTCCAATGCAGCCAAACAGAGCTGGGACAAATTTAGACATAGTAAGAAGTCTAAGCTACTGTATAATAGAATCTCATTATAGACAGAGATAAGGATGGGATAATATTATGACGGATAAACCGTGACTAAAAGCTTAATTTATCATCAGTATTTTTTTGTGACGATTCGTGGCTGTGGAGATAAAAATAATTCTGTACTAATGTGTTCTAATTCAGTCTCTGTGGGAAACACAAAGTGTCAGGCGTCAGTAAGCCAAACACAATAACACACCATGGACAAGTGTGTGTGTGTGTGTGTGCCAGGTCTCATCCTCCATTGCCCATCTGACACCGAGCGGCCTGCTGGCAACAGTGAGACCTTTAACACAAAAAGATTTGTGTCCCTGGCAATCTGCTGTATATCTGCATGCCTTAGTTTGTGGCTGCCGAACAAAGTTGGTGACATGTAACATTTTTAATTTTCCTACCTTTGCACTTGTGTGAAGTAATTTCAGATGAAGGCAAACCGCTGTTGTGTTGGCTTGTGCTGTACATGTGTGGCTTTGCACTCCAGCTAAAGACAAGGCCAGACTGGGTTCAACATGAGGAGTGAGGAGACATGGCCTAGTTTGGACGTGCACTGCTCCTCGGGGGGTTCCATTATACGTGAGTCAATCCTCTGGACCTTTTACTGGGAAATGAAGGAGCAACAGAGTAAACTCTTAATCCTCACCCTTAAACCATCTGCTGGGGGATGATCCTTGTGTGTAGATTTACGTGGAGCCCCGGCAAAAGGAGAATATTATATTGTTTTTAATTCTGACTTCTGCTATTCTGCAACAATATGGCTGAAATGCCTCATTAAATCATGACACATTCATAGTACAAGACATGTAAATCAGGCCATTTGTTTACGCAAAGCCCCAGACAGTGCACCAAGGAGTGCTGGGATTTTTAAAGCTACAATCCAACCTACCCACAAACACCATATGTTTCCTTCAGTCTCAGTCATTGACCTGAGACTGAGAGCGCAAAACCACTCAGGGTGCAGCTAAAGCATATTCTGTGTCAACCTGCATTTTTCCGGGCGGGTTAAAAATCTTATCCATACAAGAGAAGAACACAGATTGTTTCACACTTCTAATCTGATTCGAGATCTGCATCTAATACAGATCTGTGTCAACAAGCAATTAATTATTTAACGGTACAAACACACACAACCGTAGATCCACGGCAGCTATTAACTGGGTAAAAAAATACAGTGACACATCATCTACACAGCCAACATGTTCCCATTAGCCACAGTGACATAAGGTCCTTAAAACACTGTAAATCCTTCCACCCTGTGAGGGCGAGAAATCACATTCAGCAATTTTATACATTGGCAGACAACATGACTCTGCATAGGATGAAGGTTGGATGATCTATATCCCTTCAGTCCAGGTCACAGGCTCCAAAAAATGATTTTCAAACCCCTCCCCTGCGTTCCATGAACACGAGACTGAGCATTTCACTGATAATCCATTCACGCGGAGGTTTGCAATAGAGGAGAATGTATGTGGGGATGATGATTCAGACCAGAGGAGCCACTCTCTTTCTGCAGCGACATGTGTTCAATTCATAGCACAACTTCCTCATTCATCAGACAGAGGGGCCTGGGATGAACGCCCTTCCTACTTGGGGGTCCTTGGCATGATTGGGATGCTGGCACGTACAGTGACAATGTAATAATCTTGACTGCAGCTGGTGTGCATGAACCACTCTCACCAGCTCAAACTGCATTAATATCTGCTTTTGATTTCCTCCAAAGAAAAACCTAAATCACTCTATACTCATTAGGTAAGACATGGTGGTAGATGAAATGTAAACTTCCTGCAGGACTCCACTTTGGGAACCCCAATCCCAGAATGATTATAGGCTAATTGGTAGGTTGTGTGACCACTGTAACGATCCCCATTGAGTGTGCATGAATAAAACACAACCGCCTGCTGGGACAAAGCAACCGTTATAATTGTGTCAACAACTGCCTGCGGCATTTCTTCAATGGAAAGTGAGTATCTGCGGCCTAATCTGTGGTCTCCTGCACGATCATAGCGTAGTTAAACTTGCATGGCTTATTGGAAGTTTGCCTCACAGGTATTATGGCTGAATGGTCTGTCGGAGGCTGCACAGGAAAGGCAGCATATAAGGCTGCTTTTTGCAAACCCATTTAAGAAACGCTGCGAGATTCCCCGGTGGGATACTCCTATAAAAGCACTTATTTTACGCGAGTGGCTGAATCCACCCATGCAAACTTTGAGCTGCAAATCCACTCTTGTCTGTGTAATCTGTTTTCACGCAGTGTATGAAAATCCGGACATGCAACGAATGAGAACAAGAAGCGATGCAAACTTACGTGAAAACGAAAAATAAAGTGGTCGATCCCACAAGGAGTGTGGCAGCAGTGGATACTGGGATGTATTTGGTGGGTTTAAATCTCTTTCCAGCGCTGTTGGGCATTCTGTAATTTCCACATTCCTCAATTATTTATTCCGATTGGAGTCGCATGTAGAAAAAAGATCCAGTGTGCAGTATATGGGCCTTTCTATGGCTATTAATAAAAGGTACAACCGGTCCGTCTTTGCTACCGTTGAAGCCGCATAGATCCCTGGACAGAGAGGCAGGGATACATAGAGCTCGCTGAAAGCCTGGAAATCCCACCCTTGCAATCCAGCCCACTGGTGAGGTCACTGAACCGCTTGAAAAGGTGGAGCCTCCTTGCAAACCCTGCAAGTGTCTTCATCAAGAAATGATCGGAGTTTTGATGTTGATTACACAGCATTTCGGCGGAAAGAATTGGTCACCCTGCTATCCTTTTATTTATTATTTTTTTTAACGGGAATACATAAAAATACACTTTCCTCGCAAATGCTCACCGACTCTAAAAATCTTGTTGTGTATTAAATTCATTTTATATCAAAATGCCTGTCAAAGTGTAAGACGACTGGCTGTTTAGTGTTTTGGTAGCTCTGGTTCGGGTGGGCAGTGTTCTCTTTGCGGAGAGACATCAAACATCCTTTAAAATCTACCAGCTTAATGTTGCTTTGTGTAACTACTAATGTCGGTTTGGATATTGTTAACCAAAATACATAGGCTATATTTAAATGAAACTTAAGTTGATAAAAATGACTACAGATTCAATCCACGGTAATCTATCTCCAAAATGTACTATAAAAATAAGCTGGGGGAAATAATCAGAGCCACTGTAGAGGTAGCTGGTAATACTGTGGATTTTTGGATTAGAGCGCCCTCAAGTGGCGCATCTCGGCATTTATGCGAAATGCGAAGCTGACTGTTTTGGCTCAGGCGGGCCACCGTAATGTTTGTAGAGACTAGATTAGCTTGCCATCTCTTGTGCAGACTGTATTTTTAGTTTTCAGCTAACAGCCTCCGCCCGGGTAGATATTTGTGCCGCATATAAAGCGAGTTTTGTTTCTCTTGCCGGTGTTGGGATTGACAGGCAAACGCCATTTCCCAGAAGAAAGCCATACATTTGTGAGGAGAGAGAAGTTAAACCAGTTAAGCTAATTAACGTTAGCTAACACCAGTTTCCTCCTTTGGTGGCTCGCAGGATGTCGTACAGGAAAACTATAAAACTTATTTGTGGGTTCGCTGGAGGTTCTGCCGTTATAGTCTTCGCGGCTGCCAATACCGACTTCCGGGGATACTTCGTGGAGCGGCGCGGAGAGGCGGCGGTCAGCCGGTGGTCGAGATTCAACGTACTTCAAGCTGCGCAGCCGGCGTGGACGCCTGCCAACCACACACCAGTCCCGACTGGACACGCCTGGGACTTCAACTGGGATAAGTACGTGCCTCTACACATGCTCTCCCTTGACTGTGTAATTATTTGAATGTAGCTGGTACCGTAATATTCCCTCCGTTTTCCTCTTTTGTATGGATTGAACGCTACGCCAAACCTCTGTCAAATACACATCGATTTAATAATAATCCACCCACGGTGAAATTTAGATTGATTTTGGACATAGTGGACTAAATGTTAAAATCTTGCTTAACTGAATTGGCGTTTTGGATGCATACCGTATCTAAAGGTGGACCATAAGGATTTGTCATGATCCTTATTCTTCGAGGTACAATGTTGCTGATTCAGCTATAAATAGGCTTTTTTTTATTGAGTTTGGTGTAGATCTTCAAAACGAGATGTATGGAAGTATCATATTCACCACTATCTGAAATAATAGTTAGGATATATATATATGTGTGTGTGTGTGTGTGTGTGTTTGTATATAAACTCTGTTTCCATCCTTCAAGTTAACAATGTGAGACAAAGCCACTTCTAATCTCGAGATCACCTCCTCTTAACTCTATCCAGGAGGGACCCATCTGCACTGTCCAATGGGAAGAAGAAAGAAAGTGTAAATGAAGACCCCAGCTCCGAGCAGGACAATGGCAAACCAAAAGCTACTCGCAACATCCTCCTCATCAGACACTCCCAGTACAACCTGAGCGGGACCACCGACAAGGAGAGGATCCTCACTCCTCTAGGTCCTTAATTTACCTTTATGTCAGCTTGAAGTCATTTCTGTCAACACGGGGTCACAATGTGTGCTTTTCTATCTCTGCTAGGATAACATTATACATGGACTGGGTCAAAGGGTGCTCCGATCGATCGGTCAGCGATCCTAATCGACCGATAATGGCTTCGGTGGTCTCTAAAAACGCCTTTCACAAAAGGCAAAATTTCAAAGAGTTTTCAAAGCTAGCCAGCACCAAAGTGTGCTTTTCAGACAGGAATGGATTGATGCGCCCAGTTAATCATTTATAATTAGATTTGAGCAGCAATCAGACAAGCAGGAGCGGTCGTGCTCATCTCACACTGACCCACAGCTGCATCACCTGATGCAAAGAGAGGCGCCACTCAATCAGCTGACTGCCTCTCTCTCTCTCTCTCTCCGTTTTCGTTTTAAAACGCCGTCTTTAGCACGTTTCCGCCTCCCGTCCAGACTAAAACGGCAAATCCGACACGATGAGCTGCAGAGTTGGTTGTTGACACGATGCTACTGACAGAAGTTTAGACTCCCAGTCTGTTTTGCAAAGTCTCTTTGTCCTCCCGTGTTGCTTTCAGTAACAGTATCGTTCAGATCAACTCTGATATGCAGCTAAAACGCCGCTGTAGCCTCACATTACCCCACTCCTCTCTCTTCTCCTCTCATGTCAACCCTCCCGTTTCCCGTTAAAGTGTTTACTACCCTCTCCTCTGGTAAAGCCGGTGGCAGTAGGCCAATGTAAAAGATGTACACTGTGCTTCTTGCACAAGGATTAAATAAATAAAAACAACCCACTGAAATAGTATTAGGCCTATAGCCTACTAGTGGTAAACTATATGAAATAATGAATATAGTAACTATAAGTAATATTAACAATATACCAACAGTATAATATGGAAGTACCATTGTATGTTTATTTATTTAAATGTCCCTTTATATTCAAATGTCATTGATCCGTAGCCCACTCTCCCTCTCTCTGTACCCCCTAAAGCCAGCAGAACCTGCCTGAGCTTTTCAGAACAAAAAGCTGCTACTTCAGAGTTTATCATCAACTCATGATTTATTCCACAGGAAAACTATATTTGTCA